AACACTTTCTATTCCACTTACAAACAGACCAAAACCAAGCAAAAAAAACAACAAGATTTAGATGTTATTTTTCACTTTTCCTGTTCTCGTTATTCCTAAGAATAAGAAAGAAAGAAAGAAAGAAAAAACAAACTCGTTTGCTTAATTGCGCACCTTATTTTCTAAGTTTTAAAAACTTTAAATTGCGACACGAGTCGTGCGTGAAAAGGAAGAGGAGACGCGGGGGTTCAATGCTGGCTGGGAGGGTCAACGATCCCGATTTCAATGGACTTCCAGAAAATCCCACTAGTCCACTACACCGCTGAAGAAGTCGTCGCGCGTTCGCATTGTGCAAACCCCGTCTCTGTTACGCAATTCGTTCGGTTACGAAACGATTTTTTGTTGTTGTTGTTGTTGTTTGTATTGTTATCATCGCTCCGGGAAATTGTTTATTGTTTTCATTTGTACGTGCTTCGAACTGTCGCCAGCATATAGGGAAATAGATTCGTATCGTATCGAAAATTCAATGTCAAACCTTGATTTTTTTTTGTTCATGTATTCAGTGAAATGCAAACGAGCCGACTTGAAATACAAATGTTGTTATCACATATTTTTTCAAGTTTCAAAGTTACATTGTAATTATGGAAAATGTATGCATTTTAAATAATCAGCGTTTTCAATGTCAAACTGGTTATTATTAAATTGGTAAATAATGAAAAAGGAAAATACATATGTTAATTTTCCTAATTTTATAAAACATTTTACGTTCAATTGATAAATGTTATATGCTAATGCATCTTCTACACTCTCACCCACTCGAAGAAGTGTTATAACTCTTAAGTCGTTCGTGTTGGCTCATCCCGAACTTGCGACATAATTACCAAAACTTTAAGAGAAAGTAGACAGACGCCCAGGGGGGGCTGGCTACACAGTTCATCAAAGTGAAATACGAAATGTACCACAACAGATTGTTTTTTCTTCCTCTGCGCGTAATTTGTTCTCGGTACAGCAAACAATTTGTAATCAACGCTCAGAGCAGCCTTCGAATTAATTAGTGCTGCTTGATAACAACGGCATTTAGAACCGAGCACATTCTTACAATTTAGATATATATATATAGAGAGAGAGAGAGAGAAAAAGAGAGTATTTACCACTATCGCGCCTTGAACATGAGGCATTTGCATACAAGATTTCTTCACCTCTCTTAAGTGATTTGTTCGTAGCTTTAGCGCAACGGACAATTAAATCTGTTAATTAATTTGATTCGTAAGTAAATATCTTAGAGTTTGAATGTTTCTAATCAGAGAATTATCAACTATGGATATTATAGAAATAAAGAAATTATGATGTTATAATCATATATTTTTGAAAAAGTTGATAATTTTCAAATTAATTACAAAAAAGTAATTTCATATTCAAATTGCATTGCTCTTTGATTACTTTCAAATGAAGAAAAGGAAGAAATATATATATATAGATATAGAGAAGAGTAGAAAATGGAAAAATCTATGCTCTAAATAATCGTGTAAACAAAATCACATGTTATTATCGCGAGGCGCGCAAATGCATGTTTCCACATACGTTCACCGTTCGACCCAATTGTTTCTCTTGCATGATCCATTTTTTCTTTTCTTCTTTCATCTGTGTGTGTGCGCGCTATTTGGATCGCCGCAGCACGATATCAATTTCTTATCTCGAAACTTTCCAATATTGCAACTGACATTCCATTTCAGTTTCAGTTAGTTTTGGAATGCAGTTTTATGTTTTTTCATGTATAAATAAAAAGGAACAGTAAAAACGATGTCGCAAGCGCCGTTTCTCAATTTGTATTTATGGCTATAACGAGTTTTATACGTAGAACATGTTTACTCGTTGCAAGAATTATGGTTTTACTACTATAATATTATTGTAATTGTATAATTACACATGATATTGTTTAGATTAAATTTAGTAATTCATTTTTGCAATTACCATTTGAATATTAATAGATTTATATATTACTTGACAAGTCACAAGTAATTTGCATACAATTTATAATGTATTTAGATCAATATAAAACTACTGACACATTACTTGAAACACAGCATTATCAAGAACTCTTGATTGTATATTTATACTTAAATTATTCTATCGTTTATCTATCATTGTTTATTATTATGTTGTTGTTGGAAGATTAATAAATGAATCGATTTATTGTTATTCCAGCGAAACTAAGCAAATACTTGATTATTTGTAAACAAAAGTTATACAAATATTATGTTTTATTAAATGATTTCTATGTTGATTGCAATGTCATTTTCGGTAAATGTCAAATTTGACAGTTAAACATATTGAATTCTTATGTCAATTTCGTATTTGTCATTAGTAAGTGTAATTAAGCATAAATTATTGAATAGAAGACATACATATATACATGTATCTGCTAAAGAAAGTCCAATTGGACTGAACACAATATTATAATTGATTTTGGAAAATTATAGTAATATAAATTGGCCGATTAACTGAAATGTTCAAGGCGGTAAAGTCAAAGAACTCAAAAATTTACATACTGAACACATCGCATGGATCGAAGCCATCATCATCGTGTGTATATAAAAAAAGAGGTCCACCTTAAAATGGAAATAACGTATCGCAATTTATCCACTCCGTTATTTTCTTTACAATGTATTTTTTTGCTTCTTCAGTTGCTGCTGCTTCTGCTGTTCTTGGATTGATTGCCGATCGCCGGCTGGCTGGCTGCATTATCATATTTTCATCTGAAACATTTTCGGAATGACTGGTCCATGACAAATTGATGTATTTACGATGAGAGTGGCTACGTGCAGAAGGATAGAACCAAAACAGAACAAGGAGAATATATATATAAATAATAAAGAAAAAACAACAACAAGAAAAGAAAGGAGTGTGAGAGACGAAGGAGATGGGGCCGGACCGACAAAAAAGAAGAGAGGTTGCGAGAAAAGTGGTTGAAATGATTTTCAACCTTATTTGGCGCGATTGAGCCTCCGCTGAGAGTTTGTTGCCCCCCTCAGAGCACAACGTTGACTTATTGTAGTATTTCATTTTCTCTTAACGAAACGAAACGAAGAAGTAATATAATGTACAGTTTTAAGCTACGCTTCTTCTGATTAGCTTGAACCAACGAAGACGGACTTTTCGGGACTTCTTGCATCAGAGATATTAATTTATTCAAATGCGAGTGATTTTTCTTCATTCGATGGACGCAATGTTTAAGTCAATTTGTACAGGTTGAATAGGTACCAGACTAAACAAATTAATTGAAGAATCTAAAATATTCGAATAAAAGCCCAAATTTAAATTACTGCTATTACTAAAAGTAATTATGTTTTAATTACATACATATTTTCTGCTTTCTATTGACACAATTTTCCATGACATGACATTCAAATAACTCCGATTTTTCATTAAATTGAATTAAGTTTAAGTAAAAGTAATTGAATTAAGATAAGTATTCTCCTCTTTCAATTAGTCTAGTCTTCGCGGTGACAGTGTTTGTGCAGCGGCTCGTTAAACGATGCCTACAACCGCACACAACATAACACATTCAGAAGGTCGTTCCGAATTATGAACACATTCTTCTGTTACCAGATATACTTTAGTCATAAAGTAGTTTTTGCTAATCAATATGCAAGGATAATTTTCAAATGAACAAAATATTTTCATAATTCGTATTCGATTAACAAAGTACTCAAAGTACTAGTTCAAACAAAGAGTATTAGATAACATTTACGCTCCATATGTGAATTACTCTACCCGCAGAATATTATAATCATCTGACAGTAACATCTGTTAGACCACTTATTATAATATGCTTATGCGTTTTTTTTCCAAGTTCAGAAATACGCACATTTGCATATGACGTTTTTTTTGTTTGTTCTTGTTGTTGAGTTACATCTGAATTGACGTCAATGAACTTTCTTTGTTTCAAAATAAATGAGCAATTAGAGTTAACACTTGAATAGTGGTAAATATTTGAGTGCTCTAAAGATCAATGCTGAAATAATTGCGCACTGTGATTCATTAATGCATGCAAAACGCGCTAATAAAATTTAGATATAATCTGCGAAGTAGAGCAACTAAACTGGTTTTTATTGAGACGATAATATTATATACATGTTGCAATTATAAGTAGTAATATTTGATGTCCAGAGTGTATTTAGAATTAGTTAATATTATTAATTGGAAATTAACTGAGTTGTTTCATGCTTATGCATTAATTAATAGGTTTCTCGCGAACAAATAAACGCCTGATTAAGTTCTTACAATAACTCAGATAAGCTAACAATGCTACAGAACGATAAGAAATATGTGTCACCACATAAATGTATCATGTACAACTTCATCTTATAAACAATGTAATTTGAAGTGATTGGAAATTTCCGCTGAATATAATACCATATGTGCAATGTTTATATCAATTTCATTTATAATGTATATAAAACAGCAACAACAATATTATTCTTTATTGAAAAATTGTAACTTTATAAGTGAATTTTCAAATAAATGTAAAAGTAAATTTATAATAAATTGAAAGTAATATAGAATTATTGTAATCGTTTTCAAAACATAAATTTGCATTAATCATAATTGATATATAAATAGAATTTGCACACAGATAGTTGCAGTGAAAGGTGCGCAAATTGCAATATTGTAATGTAATTTTAGCAGTAATGATGTTTCATAAAAAGGTCAGGATGGAAAATTATACCGTGATACCTGGAGATTTTATTTTTTTTCTTTCTCTCTCCAATTTTCAAATTGATTTTGTTATCTTCATTAGTTAACAATTAATCCCGAATTAGAAATTGTCATTTCAAGATCAGTAGGCGCTGTCGATTATTCAACGTCAATGATTTTAGTAGGCTTGTTCTGGTTTTGTTTATATCCCAGGATACAGAAAACAGATGGTGGAATTATGTTGACATGTGTCAAAACATCGAGTTATTTCCGCAAAACTTAAGAACGCGTCGCGTCGCACCGGAAAAGTCATAGAAACTTACCCTGATGAATGTCTTTTTTGGCAATCCATCATCGAAGTCCGTCAATTTCACCGTATCGCACATGGTTCACAGGAATCACCAAAACTCATCACAGCAGCCCCGGATGGGCATATACAGAAACAAAACTTTTTCCCGGACGCACACGCACAAAACCAAACAAAAAAAAAAGAAACTTTTGAAAAAGGGCGCAGTGAGTCACGCGGCTCTTCAACTAACAACAAACAACGACCGCAAGAAGAGCACCAGCAAACAACGGCAACGGCAATGATATCCACCGTCCGACGACCGGCAAAGCACGATCATCACAATAGTTGTTCTACCTGCGGCGCACAGGTAAGCCTCGATTCGCCCTCCCACAAAACGGCAACCCACAGTGACAACCCATTGTTTGGACTGCGCACAATCAAATCACCTTAGCTTGCGTTCAACAACAACAGAGAGAGAAAAAATCTGTTTTCCGATAGATACGTTTCACCGCGATTCGTACGATCAATTCAATGCAGCAATACCATCAGAGAGTCGTGATCCATTCTGCATTGTTCGCAAACGAAACAAAATATACCACAACTACTACTACTACTACAAGTGGAGAACAAAGAAAAAAAAAAGAGAACAAAACGGGCACGAGTTAAATGAATTAAAAATAAACAAACGAAAAGAATGGGTGGAGAAGAATCGAACTAAACGGGCGCAACTGAAGCCGCATCCTGTGACCGCCGGCAACTGTAATATAATTACGCAATTTCCGAAACACAATGAGAGTACATTCAAGGGCGTACAAGGTCTAACATTTACGTGGATGAACTATCGTTACCATTATTTTAGAGTTTATTTAATTAATTAAATAGTATTTATACAGTTAATTTGATTTTTAGCAACGTGTTAAATTATTATTATTTTTTGTTATAATTATTGTTACAGTGTTAAAGATTATCAATGGTAACATTTAAAACGAGAAGGTCAGTTTGCACCACAACCGAAAGGTCTTTTAAATGCAAACAACTTTTGTCTTGAACCATTTCATTCAATTGCATAAAAATCAATTTATAACCAACAACAACAAATAACAAAAATATATACATATAAATAATGAGAAATATTAATTTTCCTTAAATCGAAAATTTCATATTGAAAAGTAAAATTTCTTTGCTTTAATGAAAAGCAATTGTTATCATTTACCAATGTCCTTCGATAAAATTCTATGTAAGTATGTAAATGAGTATTCTTTTTTCGTTCGGAATAAATTTAAACGCATCGCGTGGTGTCATTGAAAAGTTATCGGTAAATTAAAATGCGAATGAGTAATTTTCGATTATTAATAACACCGGGTTTGATAATATTTTGCTTATTATCATTTATGAAATCGAATCATATTAAAAGATATAAATAATTGTCAGTTATAGTCATCACCTTCTTTATAACATATAATTAATTATTCTTTATAACATATAATTATTATTTTTTAAATTTTAATTTTCATCCCATAGATAAAGCATGATGTATGATGATAAACCTAGTGGATGAAAACGAGATCCGTCACATTTTCTGTTTAAAAACAGGTACAACCTCGTGAAGGTTAAATGCAAAACGGTCTTGCATCAATTCAGAGGCTGTGTGTTGCGCTTGAAATGATACCTGGTTACCATCTTCATAAGAAGATGATATACCTTTAATTAGCACCTGGAGATGCGGACACGTGGAAATCGCTGCTCTCATTCACAGCAAATGAGAGCAAACGCGTGACCGCACACCCGGAAGGAATCAAGAAGAAAATAGGGAAAATTTAGGATAGAAGGAAATGCTATGATCTAGGTATCTGAAACAGAAGAACACAAAGACATGACACACACCCGCCGACCGAAAACATGAACGAAATATAAGTTTACACAATCTATAAGATCGTATTGAAAAATACGATACACATTTATAATTACAATAAAAATAAAATTGCATTGCACATTGAACATCATTATAATATTTAACAGCAGAGGAACAAATGGAACGTCCATTTTCTCTTTCATCTTTTTTTTAATTATTTTTCCATTCTTTTGTTTTAAATATTTTTTATTATTATTGTTATTAAACCATATTTTATTTTTTTATTTTTTATTATATTAATTATTGCTATTAATCTTTTTTTTTATTTTTTTGTATGTATCCATTTGTTTATACATTATATATAATATGGTTTTCTTATTACTTTTTATATAATTTTTTCTATATTATGAATGTGTAATATGCAATGCATTACAATATAATCAAGCGCTTTTAGCTGTCCAGCATTGTGACTACTCTATAGGCTTTGA